GCCATGTGAGAAGTGAAAGTCTATTTTCCATCTCATTTCTCTGAACTATCCACCTTTCATGATTTTGTCTTTTGTTCTTATGGATATTGCCATAATTCTAAATAATATTTGATACCTTCATTACTTGGATTGTTAACATTAAACCATATTTATTGATTATTGAATAACTCTTGAGGGAATTTGTGCTAAGGAGAAGTGGGAAAAGATTAATGCAAGGAAAATTTACTAAAGTACCAAATACCAAGCAGTAGGAGAATAGCCAAATCAATTATTCAGCCATTGAAAATCCTATTTTTTTTTTTTTTTTGTCTTTTTTCCATGTCCGGCAACGGATCGCAACCCTCAGTGTTGCCCCCGCACCGGACCGGGGACCGGCAACGGGATCGCAAGCCTCGGTGCCGCTCCCGCGCCTCGCTCAGCCAGTGAGCGGGAGCCAGTCTGTATGTGGGATCCGAACCCTCGGACGGGAGCGCCGCCGCGCTTCCCAAGCGGTGCACTATCCAGTGCGCCACCAGGCCGGCCCGAAAATCCTATTTTTTAAAAAATATTGAATGATCAGAGAAATGTTCATGATTTTTTGAGAAACATAAATAAGTGAAACCTACAGTGTACAAAATAAATTTTCAGTATAATTAAGTTTTGTTTTATGTGTATGTCTATATATATATATACACACACACACATTCATTCATATACACATACACGTGTGCAAAACTGGAAAGTAATTCACAGAATGTTAACAGTGATTTTCTCATGGTAGTAGAATTTTTATTTATTTTTTTATATATTGGCCAATTCTCTAAAATGACTATGGTAAGAAAAAAGTCATTTTTAAAAAGTTCGGTAATAATAACAAGACTAATAGTATTCATGGCTTCCATTTATTGAAGAATTATTATGTGGCCAAGTATTACACTTAATACTTCGTGTTCAGATATTTATTTAAGCATTTATTGACCCTTCAGGGTAGACACTGTATTTCTACATATATTCCTTGCATAAAATCACATGGCTGTTGAGTTGGGCCATTCTGGCTCCAAAGCCCCAAATCATGAACTTTTATGATATACTCAGCAGAAATGATTTTTTTAATTGTGGTAAAATACACATGAGAAATTTACCATCTTAACTGTTTTTTTGTGTACAGTTCAGTAGTATTAAGCACATTTACACTGTTGTGCAGATAATCTCCAGAACTCTTTTTGTGTTGCAAAATTGAAACTTGATTATATCCATTAAACAGCTCCCCATTCTTCCTTCCCTCAGCCCCTGTAACCTCTATTCTACTTTCTGTCTTTATGAATCTCATGTAAGTGGAATTGTACAGTAACTGTCTTCTGTGACTGGCTTATTTCACTTAGCATAATTTTCTCAAGGTTCACCTATATTGTAGCATGTGTCAGAATTTTCTTTCTTAACATTGTGCAAATACTTACATATGTTAGAATTTACTCACCATTTGGTTGAGGGAAAAAAATCTAAGATAGTTGCTAGCTTGAGTATAAACATTAAACTAATTCCATATAAATTTAGTCACATTGTTTGCCTGGCTATAATTATAAAGCACCTTGCGTTTCAGTGCTTAGATTTTTGCCACAAAACAACAGGTGAGGGGAGATGTTATGTTTTATTTTGGTTTTGAAAATGTCATTGATAGGGCCAGCCTCAGCTCACTTGGGAGAGTGTGATGCTGATAACACCAAGGGCCAAGGGTTCGGATCCCTATATAGGGATGGCCGGTTAGCTCACTTGGGAGAGCGTGGTGCGGACAACACCGTGCCAAGAGTTGTGATCCCCTTACCAGTCAGAAAAAAAAAAAATGTCATTGAAAAATCATTGATGATAACCTCTAGTGTTATACTAACATTTTAAAGTTTCAAAGTCACAGAGCCAGGAGGAGGTGGATTTCTCCTCCTTTCCATTCCCAAAGCTTTGCATTTGCTCTATCCTGAACTTTCTGAGAAAAGGAGAACATTACTTGTTTTTCATACTTACTAAAATAAATGGACAAGGCCTGTACTTTTCTATCTTAAGACTTTGTCTGCATGTCTAGTACCAGCCTTGTAAGGTCAGAACAGACATGCATTTTGCTTTTGTATGTTATAATTGTTTTGCTTGTTCTAAAGTAGAAACATGGTTTAGGGAGAAAAGTTGTTTGAGAGCTAAATGCCGTGGAGTTCCAATCTTGGCTTGGTCCTTCTATGAATTATTTAATTGCACAATTTTCAGCTCTTTGCTACTTTTACAAGCATGTATGTAATGGTAAAGGTCTCATAACTGAACCTTTGAATGCCTTGTTCAGAAGATAACGTTACTTTTAATTATTTAGGTTTGTGAGACGTGTCCTTTACTCGTAGCACTTTCTGGTCTCCAAAGGAGCTGTTGCTCAAGGTTGTACTTACTTCTGGAGACCACGTGTGTTGTTCCCCGGGGGCAGCATCAAAGAATCCAACAGCAGCTGTATCAACAGAGATGTTCTTGTACATTGTTAGTTAAAAAGTACTTCGAGATTTGGGCATTTTGCCCCAAAATACTCACTTTGTTGTCTGGAATAGTAAGGACTTGGCAAAGTAACTTCAAAAAGAAAATAAGGATTTTGGGGCCGGCCCGGTGGCGCACTGCTATAGTGCGCCGCTTGGGAAGCGCGGCGGCGCTCCCGCCGAGGGTTCGGATCCCACATACAGACCGGTTCCCGCTCACTGGCTGAGCGAGGAGCGGGGGCAACGCTGAGGGTTGCGATCCCGTTGCCGGTCCCGGTCCGGTACGGGGGCGACACTGAGGGTTGCGATCCGTTGCCGGACACGGAAAAAGACAAAAAGGAAAAAAAAAAAGAAAATAAGGATTTTGCACTGAAAAATGGAAAATTATAGTTCTTCATTTATTTGATAAAATAATTTCCTCTCATTAAATGGTGTTTTCAGTTCCTCATTTCATTTACACATTTGACCTCTTAAATATATGGTATTTATTGACCAAAGATGCCATTAAATTTTTCTTAATTTCACAGTTACAAGCAGTGCTTCAAATTATAATAGGCTGTCTTTTATATTTTGTCCAGAATAGAATATATAAACCCTAGTGTTTATCAACTATAGGCCTGAACTGCCTCTCAGTGATAAACTTGAAATCTCTTTCCCTCCCTTCCCTTCCAACACTTTGTTAACCATATAGCAGAACAAAATGTTTCTTGTGTGATCTATTTTCTTGTTCATGTGAATTTGTAGTAGCTTTCTTAAGGAACCTTTTAAATTTGATCAGCACTTTTCTGTTGAATATGGTCCCAAATAATTATGTTTTCATTTAATTACTTTCCTGTAAGAGGGCAGCACTTTATGAAATTTATACTTTTAAACTAATATTCTTAGAATCTTATCAATGGGGAAGGTTTACATTGAGGAATGGGAGTAATTTATTTTATTAAGAACTGCAAAAATAGGACAAAAATTCTGATTTCCTGATCCTAGTGGGATGATGTACCTTTTAGGCTGCATCAAAGAATGTTAGAAATTGTTTGGCTGAGTTATGAAAAAATTTTAAATATGTACAGATTTTTACTTTTATTTCTGGCAGTTGGCCTGTAAGGGGATCCGAACACTTGACGTTGGTGTTATCAGCACCACACACTGCCTATTGAGCTAACCAGCCAGCCCTTATGTACAGATTTTTAATGTATTGTGTACTAAAATTATAAATGACTGAAACCTCAGCTTTTGAAAATTCCTAGGGAATTAATTAATTTAACTGGTTATTTTTTTTGGCTAAAAAGCATTCATACCTTTGTGAAAGTTTTATTTTAATTACATACAAATGAAAATAGAATTCATTCTTTACTTACTTTTCTCTTTAAATATAGTAGACTGAACATCAATGCTTGATGATTTACTTGATAATTTACTTTGACGTGGTATTATTATTTGCTTTAATATATAATACCAGTAGAGTCTTTTTTGTTCCTCTAACATTTTTTTTTTCCTTTTTGTCTTTTTTCGTGACCGGCAACGGATCGCAACCCTCAGTGTCGCGCCCGTACCGGACCGGGACCGGCAACGGGATCGCAACCCTCGGTGTTGCGCCCGCACCTCGCTCAGCCAGTGAGCGGCCGGTCTGTATGTGGGATCCGAACCCTCGGCGGGAGCGCCGCCACGCTCCCAAGCGGTGCACTGTAGCAGTGCGCCACCGGGCCGGCCCCGTTCCTCTAACATTTATCGAATACTTATTGTAAGCCAGGCACTGCTCTAGGCATGATATCCGTGTGGTTGTGTACTAAATAGTCTCAGAGTGCACTGCTTTGAGTTCTTCGCTGAATTTTATGGTATCTCCTTCTTGCCATTATTTAGTATAATATTAAGAGCATGAATTCAGGAACCAGACTGTTAAAATTTGAATCCTGGCTCTACTACTAATTAGACTTGTGACCATCTCACCACTAAACTTTTGAAAGAATAGTAATTTTTAAATATAAAATGGTTTCTTCAGTTGTCTCATAAATGTGCAAAACCCCCCTTTACCTCAACTTTTGCATCTGTAACTGGAGCCAATGGTGTAACTTACCTCATAGAGTTATTGTGAGGATTTAAAAGAACACAAAATGTTTGGAGTGTTACTTGGCAGATAGATAGTGCTAACATAATGTGTTAGTTATTACTGCTACCATGAATAATGTTATTACTATGACATCTCAATACTGTCAGTCTGTTTGCCCCAAATTTTTTGATCTGAGAAAATTTTCTCTTTAAATTTTCTAATCTGGGAAAACAGATAACCAAACTTGTTAGAAGTAAGTGCAAAATAAGAATTAATTGACTGTATGACACATGAGATTCCCCTTCAAGGAAACAGAATGTATAATGCTATGTATGCTGTGGCATTACATTTTGGCTGCGGAGAACCCTTTTTTCCTTAGACACAGCCTTTAATAATAGGCCAGGCTTATTAATGAATCGTGAATAGGAAAAAATATGAAGTAAAGTTTATCATAATAAATATGACTTATTTTTTAGGGAAAAAGATCTTGAAGAAGCTTTGGAAGCAGGAGGTTGTGATCTTGAAACTTTGAGAAATATAATTCAAGGGAGACCACTGCCTGCTGATCTGAGGGCCAAAGTTTGGAAGGTAACTGGAAACTAAAATTAATAAAATGTTATCACCTAAGAGTAATATTTTTAAAAATTTATTTTCACCTGTCTCATTTGCACAAACCTTATCTTGTGAGCATGCCACATCTAGATTTGTCAAATAGAACAACTTACTAAAATGTGTGTTTTTGTAGTGTTTGGTATATTTGATAATAATGGATTAGGTTTTGAAAGGTAATATTGTTGGGGTTTTTGATTCTTTAATGAAACAGGGAAATACAACCAGTGAGTGAAATAGGGTATACAGTTGCAGATATGGAATGATCCTCAGCTATGTTAAAAAGAAGAAAAAAGGAAATATGTCTCTGGGTGTTGGGGTTATAGGAGATTTTTCTTTGCTTTATTTTCCTCTTTTCACCTGTGCTCCAGTGCTTGGGTATTGTTATTTTTAAAATTTTTAATTAAAATGTTGTTATGATTACAAAAGAAATACATATATTTGTGAAAACCTGTATAACATATAAGCACAAAGGATAAAAATGATCTTTTATCTACCACCTATAGGTAAAACATGTAATAATGTCTTGATGTATATCTTTTTACTTTTTTCCCTGTGCGCATATATATTTAACAAAAGTGGAATTATGCTTGTACATAGCATTCTGAATGTTTTATTATAGAGATTTAAGCACATACAAAAGTATAGAGACTTGTATATTGAACCCCCATGTGCCCATAACCCAATTTTAACTATTATTTGGCCAGTCTTGTTTGATTAGTACCACTATCTTTTCTTTCCCACGCCACCCACTGGATTATTTTAAAGAAAATCCTTGATAGCATACCAAAATACTTTAATATGAAAGTCTGAAAGATAAGGATTCTTTTTAAATAACCACAGTACCACCAAACACTTAAAAGAATAGTAATTCCTTAATATCATAAAATTTGTCTTAAGTTGTCTCATACATGTATTTTTATAGGTGATTTGTTTAAATCTGAATTATAGAAGACCCACCTGTTGCATTTGGTTGATACATCACTTAAGATTCTTTTAATCAATACGGTGTTTTTTAACATTCTTAAAAAAAGACTTACAAAATAGCAAGAACATATTCTCAATTAATTAAATATTCTTCTGTATAATTAAAAAATTTTTTTAAATTTATAGATAACATGTTTTTATCATGTATTCTTTTGTATAATTTTAATTGTACATGGCACATATCCAATATCACATTCTATATTGGTTTTTTTTTTTTTTTTTGTCTGTCTTTTTCTATGTCCGGCAACGGATCGCAACC